GGGTGGTGGGGGAGAGCTCCGCGGGGGCTCGGCTGCCGGGAGGGGTTTCCACCCGCGGGTGGGAGGAGGAAGAGGCTCCTTTGGGCCGTGGGGGGTTCGGAGGAGGGAGAGCGGCGCCGGGAGAGCATCCCTGGCAGCCGGCCGTGCCTCCGTGCCACCTTCCCCGGGTACGCTGGGCATCCCGGCCGGTCTGGGCATCCCCACGCCTTCCTCCTCCTCCTCGGGACATTCCCTGCCCGCTGTCATTCTCTCACACCTCCTGAGGAAGGGCCCTGTCAGCTCAGCTGCTCCGTCGTCTCCTCTGGGTGTGATTTGAGGAGAGGGATGGAGCCACGCTGCTCTTTGTTTGCCAGGGCTGCTCAGCCCCCAGCGTGAGCTGAGCCTTGAAAAATGCCCCTGTGCTGCTGGTCCTGGGGCTTGGGGTGCTCTGCAGTGAGATCTTGCTGTCATTCAGCAGCTGTCGGGGATAGGTGCCAAGGAAGAGGGGGCTCAGAGCTCTGCGTTTGGGCAGGGGGTGGCTCGGTGGTGTGTTGAGACTGGTCACCTGCTCCTCAGATGTCAGACAGGACGGGCCCTGGATGTGTGCACCAAAGCTTTTCCCCGCTCACTGCAACTGTTCTGGTTCAACTTCTGGCGTGACCCGGTAGATGAAGCTATGCTTTACCTGAGAAAGGTCAGGTCTCCTAGTTATTTTGCTATATTCTTTTTTTCCCATCCCCAAGTTAGAGAAGGGCTTGTGCATCAGCCCAGTAGCCAGCCCTTTTCAGAGTCTGAAGTGGCTTATGTCCAAATGACAAGGGTTTGTGACCTTGGGGCTCACTTATCAAATCTATTGCTTGTAAGAATTGCACTGCGTTTAAATGGTGCTATATGAATGAAGATTTCAAATCAGCAGTGGCTGAATCAGCAATGTTGTCCGTTTGGAGACAGGGGAATCATAGGACTTCTTCCACACTTGGAGAAACAGTTAGGTTTACTGCATGTATCTGTGTATTGGCGTTCAGTGTTGTATACACCCGAGATACACCATCCGTAGGTTTGAGCCAAGCAAATGTCAAGAGAGTGGAAGCTGCAGTGGGACTGTGAATTAGTGGTGAATCTGTGCAAACCCATCATGAATAGCATTAATCAGATACCAGATGCTTAAGTGATAAGATGCCCCAGACTGCTGTATTTACACCAAGATCCACACCTATTGCAATAGATGTGGTTTTGACCCAAAGCACTGACCTCTGCAGTCTGAGTTGCACACTCAGTTGAGTCTGCACACTCTGAGTTGAGGACAATCAGGCTGGAAATGCCAAGACCCAGATCTGAGTCCCCTGGCAGCTCTGGTCAATCAGAGACTGGATGGATACAGCTGTGTTTCTGTGATCTAACCTGCTGCTTTTAGTTTTAGACCTGCTACCAATACGTGCACATTTCTCCCTCTTAAAGCAATGAAAAAGAGGGCTTGCATTTCCATAGACTGGCTCATTTATGGGCCCCTTAGTTCTTCATTCTGCTTCTCCTCTAAAAGCACTGGATCCAGTCTGAAACAGTGCCTGGGTATAAAGGTCTCTTTTATGATCTATACAGAAGTATTTCTTCCATTTTTCTTCCTTATGTAAAGCTCCAATATGCAACTAAATTTCAGAGTTTGGTAAAGTGTGCCTTTCTTCCAGATGAGTTAAGTTCTTATCTTCTCCAATCAAACATTTCTGCCTCAGTGCATGCTATATACAACATATTTCAGTATTCAGTTAATTCAAATTGAACCTGTGACTGCAGAAGATTCATAAAGCAAGAATTGAAACACGTGCTACATTTGGCATGTGCTTTATTTTGCTTATAGTCCTGAGAACCTGTTAGAAGAAAACATGAGGTTTAAAACCGAGCTCTTCTATTTGAAAAATGAAAATAAGTCTGAGCCATACCCCGGTGAGTGAAGCTGCACCACGTGGTTCCCATACAGAAAGTGATACTAGACCAGCCACACTGCTCTTACGGCTGTCTCCGATTTCTCGCATGCTCCTTGCGGCTCCGCGGGCTGGCGGCTCACGGGAGGTCCCAAAGCTGTCTCCATTAAGGCTTTTTGGGGGATAGAGAGGGTCTCGGGGGCTGGATATGCCTGGTTCTGTGAGCACTAGAGTTCAGCCAGCAATAAAATAGAAAGCAAGGATAGGTTTCAGACATTTCATGATGTAATTGTGCTTTGAAAAAGCTGAGGAGTGCTAAACTGAGAGAAAATGGTAGGGTCCGTTTTAGGTCTGAAGAAGAGCAACCCGGAATCAGCAGTGGTTGTGCAAGCAGTGTGTGAGTCACAGCATGGAAATATCTCTGCCTCCAGGTACAAAAATTGAATGCTCAGCTCCTATTTCTGTTGGGATAATTGCATTCTTCCCACCTGAGAGTCTCTTGGCACCTGAAGCTGTCACCTTCCCTTCCTGCTCCGAGTTGCTGTTTCGTTGCAGCGCGGTGTTAGATAACTGCAATTTCCCTCCTACGTGTGGTTGCTGTTAATTGTGCAAAACGATTCCAATCTTTACGTAAGAAAGCCTTACAGAGGCTTGCTGAAGCCGCCAAGTAACTTTTAATTTTGATAGAAGTTTCAGGAAGTAAATGAGATCCCGGTTGGGTATCGCAGAGGAGTTCTCTGATGGAGACAGGGAGAACCCAGCTGCCACGCTCAGCCACCTGCCAGGGCCAGAACTCCCAGGGTTAGTGCCTGCACCCCGCTTCGGCATCCTTCAGGGGCAGGAGGAGAACTAATCTAAGTTGATTCTTAGTTATATTTTAGAAACCCATGGTCAGCTGCAGGTTTGTGATGATTTTAGGCTGGTTCTGGCAGTGCTTAGCTGCAATGGAGCTGTTCTCTGCCAGCCCTGGGAAGCTTTGCTGCTTGAAATCATGGAATCATGGAATCACGGAATTGTCAGAGTTGGAAGGGACCTCTAGAGATCATCTGGTCCAACTCCCCTGCTAAAGCAGGAACGCCTAGAGCACATCACTCAGGGCTGCATCCAGGCAGGTCTTGAAGATCTCCAGAGAAGGGGACTTCACAACCTCCCTGGGCAGCCTGTTCCAGGGCTCTGGCACCCTCACTGGAAAGAAGTTCTTTCTCATATTTGAGTGGAACTTCCTCTGTTCCAGCTTGTGCCTGTTGCCCCTCGTCCTTATCTCTTTACACCTAGACCTTGTTTCATACAATTTTGTACTGGGAACTTGAAAATGGAAATAACAATAGGATTGTGTTGTGTATGCCTGTATTTCTTATGTTATGGCCTTATATTATTTCCCTGTATTGTTTAGCAGTTCTTAGAGTAAATACACTACAGGCAGTCAGGTAGTTCAGTACCACAAACTGTTGTAAATATGGCTGAATCACCCATCTCTTAGAAAAGGTGAAACAAACACACACACAAAAAGATAGAGGCATCCTCAGCAGCGTATGAGCCCCAGAATCAGTAGAAGTTTATCTGTGTCATTTTTCCATGACCATGTTTTCAATAAGAGAAGCTTTGAATCAGGATTGAGATTACGGTGTATCTGAGATACACTTTCTTATTGCAAACAATTTAGCTGAAAACATAGATATTTATGACCGAGGCACTGCTGGTTGCAGGATACTGCAGCCCTAAGCAGGCACAGGCAGCTGAGCAGAGAGGAAATCGAAACAAGTGGCTTAATTTTGGTGGAGGCTTGTTTCCAAGTTAGTTCTGGGAAATACAGCAGTGACTGGCTTGGGTTGCAGCCCAAAGAGAAGCAGCTGTGAGAGCTGTCCACTTGACATTAAATATTTGCGTCTCTTCCCGTAGGAAGTCAACTGGGAATTGCTCATACATGCTTAAGCCCAGCAGCTCCTTGTCACCAAATGATGTTCTTTGACCTTCTCTGTACAGCAGCTTTTGGGCACCGTGTGCTGGCTGCCTTCACTGCGGCTTCGTGTGGGAGGTGATGGCTGGGAAGGAAGATGAAGAGGGAGGGAGAGAGCTGGAGAGGGGAGAAGAAGGGAAAATCGTGGTGGCCACCAGCAGTCCTTACTACAAGTTCGGTTTGGGCGTTGGTTGTACTCGGCTCATACATTGCTGGTACTAATTAATCCTCTTGTTTTAGCATCTCTGTTTATTTTATAATATAACATACCACCTTGGAAACCCTCCCAGGACCCAGGAACTCTCATGTGTTAAGTAAGTCACCTAAGAAACTTGAGCATAATCGGCGTGAAGGTCTGGGTACTGCTACCAGCTTGTCAGTTGTTGCAGAAGGGCTAGGTTGGGAAGCACCTGGCCATGGACCAACCCACAGTATCTGCATGGACCTGTCAAAATGAAGGTTTGCTGCACTAAAAGAAGTCTTATTTCTCTCTGATGCATCTTACCTCCTTCCTGGAGGAAGCAGCTGGAAAGTGGAGTATTGCCCTATGCTCTACACACCTTGGGGTTAACGTCCCCATTGACCACTTTGGGCTTTCCCAGTGGTGAGAATCCTTGCCTGCCCTGCACAATTTCCACCCCATTTCTGGGAGGGCTTTTTCCCCAATTTGTTTGTTTTAGTTACCACCACCACCAGTTGGCTGCCTGGGGGATTTGAGGTGCTTTGGGCAGCAGAAACCACAGGGTGAAGGGTGTTAGTGGGGAACGCTGGGTGCTGCATCCTGACAGCTTCTGTGAGTGCCACGGGGGCAGCAGTACCCACCTGCAGCATCCCTTATTGTACGTCCAGCTGGGCCCGTATCTCTCTATACAGGTTAATCGTGTTTCTCAAACAGTCATGAGAATCAAATCCATAGAAAGGAAAAAACAAAAAACCAAAAAACAACTGCAAGACTAAATCACAACAAATATGTATAAAAAAAATAGTTTTGACTTGAATTGTGCTCCTTTCCTGCACCTTTCCTTTCCTACACCACTGTTGGCCCTCTGTGTTACTCCCTTCACATTCCCAAGTTGCTGGGGAGGCTTTTGGGAAATGATCCTATCTTGTGACTTCCGTAAGGGCTGGGGGCTAACATTGGGTTGGGTGTAATTAGGTCAAGGACTATTACTATGGCAGCTGCTGGCCCAGAGCTTGAAAAACATCTCCAAGTGCTGCTGAAACAGGCTATAATGCTAATAGCTGACATTTGCACATCTTGCGTGGAGCTCAGCAGGGTGCTCTGGAACCCAGGGCATTAATGACAGGACTGAGTCAACAAGGGTGCGAGTAGCATTGGGCGGGAGCAGCCAGGCAAGCTGTGAACTTCAAAGCATCTTTCGGTAGAGGTGCAGACCCCAGAGAACTGCAGCAAACGCTCTGCTGCTCTTTGGCATATGAGGAGTGCTCAGTAAATAGCAGAAGTTAACCAGCATCAGGAATAAGCCTGCTTGGGGAGCCAGGACAAACTTGAAAAAACATTTACTTTAATGTCAAGCCTAAATTATCTTTGGGTGAACATCTTCAGCTGTTGGCGAAAACCTTTTTTTTTTTTTCTGTTTCCCTTCTACAGAGCCAGGTTTTCATTTCCTGCAAAAATGATGGTAAGCTGCTCTTGGTGCCAGAATTTATTTAAAAGGCATCGTGGCTATCTGGTGTTGCCTGAGATTTAGGGTACCACCAATGTTGGCAGTGGGGCCAGATGGTCATTACTGCTGTTTTGAGGTGTTTCTCCTTCTTCAGCTGAAGGGAAACTATTTTCCTTCAGTCTCACTGGTACGAATTTCCTTCAGAAGTTTTTTCCCATGTATCAAAACACTTATTACTCTGAAGGCAACGCTTGTTAAACACCCAGCTCTTAATGATTCTGAGACTTCTCTGAGGGATAACTGGCAGCCCCGTGGAGAGGGAAAGATATTTGCTGGCTCCTCTGACCCACTCCATTTAAACGTTGCACCACCTGAGCTTTACATTCTGCTACCACTCCATTGCCAAAGTAAACCTCAGGGAACAGGTTCTTTCCTCCGGTGCACCCATTTGTGTCTCTCCATACTTACTTCTTAAGCACAGAGTTTATTCTCTTTCACCCAACCTGCCACTTTGGTCCATGAGAAGCATCCATAAATCTAATAAAATCATTCCTTCTGGTCCGCTCTTAATGCATACTTGTACACCCACACATACAGTTGCTTCTTCTTTGGAATGCGTTGGGATGTCTTTTTTTTAATATTTTAAAATCTTTTTTAATGTTGGGGTGGAGGATGTGCGTTGGATGGTGCCTGGCAGTCTGCACATTGTGTATGTGTGCCTTGATTTTCTGGTTTGTGGGTTTTCCTATGGTGGCTGCTAATGCGGATCTGGCTAAGGCCAGATAAAATCAGGTGTTTGGGTATCATGGCTACTTCATTTTGCCTCGTGGAAAATTATAATTAATGACTGGGTGTTCATCCAAGCTTATGAAATCTTTTTCCAGTGATTGCAGTGCATTAGAAACGAAATAATTACTTACTGAAGGTTTAATCCTGTCAGCTACAACCACCTGATTCTGGTTCAGGAAAAATAGTTCAGCATATGATTAACATTGATTCTTGGAAGTACTCTCTGTTAGTTGTAGTTTCTTAATTAGATGTTTAAGTCAGAAGATGGGTGTTGAGCCACTGGGGAGGAAACCAGTCCAGCTTGCTGGGTTTGTGCTCTCTCTGGTAAGGGATGCAGCCGGAGGATGCTGAGTCCTCTGCTCATCCCACCTTCCACCCCAGCAAAGCAGTTGGGTACTGAACAGGGATTCTCCTTCAGATCTGAGTTTTTCCTTGGGATTCTGGGAGTTTCTGTTTGTAGATAGGTTTCTTTTGTTGTTGTTGTTGTTTTGGAAAACATCTACAAGGGCATTAGGATGGGCATCACAAAGGCGACTTGTATCCTGCTCATTTAGCTCCAATAGCAAAATTTCCACCTCTGTTTGGGCAAAAGGAGCCGGAGCAGGCCCACTGCTTGCGTCTCAACTCTGAGGAGTCCCAGCTGGGATTGGGACATCTTCTTTTAGACACCTGATGACAGATCCTTCCTGAATGAGCTTGAAAGACTTAGACGAAGAGGATGAAAAGGTGTTACTGGGGCACAGGATCTCCACCTTTAGGCAGCCCCATGCCAGTTTTTGTAGTGCTGTATAGTTGCAGAAGAAAAGGATTCTCCTGGTACAGAGAGGGAGGAGATGACAGCTTGTTGGCAGAGCACACGTGGAGATGTGCCGTGGCTGGGTGGGGTGACAGCTAGACCTGGCTGCTCGCTGGCTGCGGTGACTCAGGCTTGTACTCTGCACTCAGTTGCATGCCTGCAAGCCATTCCTGCCAGCAGCGACCAGCTCCATCTGATAATCTCAGCACACTTGTAAAAGTGATAGTTTATCATACGTGGCTGCACACCTGTTGCTGCCTGGAGTTTCTGCAGCTCTTTTGGGTGGTGTCTCTTCAGGGCAACCACACTAAGTGGCATTTTTTTATTGCCATTTGTTTGCAAAAGTGTAAGTCAAATCCTCATCACTCCCTCTCCAAAGTTGGTTTAGTACCAGGGAATGACCTAAAAAAAAAGTGTGTTGCCAAGTGTAATGATAACTTGGCTAAAGACTGTTGTGGCAACTGCTTAATGAACACAGTCATTTATTATTCCTCAGCCTTCTCCGTGTATATTTTATCTCCCTGTTGTTGTGCTGGGCTTGGCTGCTGCTTTTTTTTTTCCCCTTTTATTACTTGTGGGAGCAAAGGATGGGGAATGGTTTCATGTCACCAAGCCAGGAGGCTGTTCCTTTGATAGCAGAGGACTATTAGCCTTTCATGAACTAGCCCTGGGCATGTGGCATCTGGCCCTTTGCCTAATTTCTCTGCTAATAAAAACTACAGGTTTTCTTTTTCACTTCCTCCAGAATAACCCAAAATAAAGTAAATTATCTGTATATAATTATTGTCATTACTCCTTTGGAGGAGAGAAAAACAAGAGATGGAAAGTTGTGACCATTTCCAGATGCATTTAATAATCTGTGTTCTCTGTAGATTACGCACAAAAACATCCTCTCTATTTAAGTCTTAACATTCCCACCGTCAGTGCAAAGTTCTAATTTACATTAACAAGCGTTTACAACCAGGGCTGCAATAAGTTAATTAAAAACCAGTGCAATAATCGGACTGTCCCCAGCCTCTGCTTGATGTTGAACTCTATCTGCTTGGCTCCCAAGTCAAAGGTTTCCAACATTCCTGCTGAAACCCTGGGAATCAGAGGAGTGAGGTTCACTGCTTTGCTGCCCCACTGGCATGGCTGTAGCTATTCTGGTATGGAGTTGTGCACAGAACTCGTTGGAGAAGGAGCCTGGCTGCCTTTTTCATCGCTGATTTTGGAGAAGGAGGCTGGCTGCCTTTTTCTTCACCAATTTAAGCACTCCGTCAGTCTCAGTGGTTTCCCAGCCGTTAACGAGAATGAACACACGGAACGTGTTTCTTGTTGCTGATACACTGACATGAATAGGACAAAGCATCTTTCTGAACACTCCTATTGCTCGCCCCTTGAAAGGGGCACTTGTTTGTTGCTGCACGCTGGGCACAGCCAACAGCAGGAGGTTCGTTAAGTGATGAGAGCAGAGCATAAATGGTCTCTGTAAATGGCCCCTGTCCAGCCAAGCACAGACACTCCAATTCCCTGCTCTTTTCTTTTTTTTCTTTTTTCATTTCTTTTTTTTTTAAGCAGAAACTCCGAAAGCTTTGGGATAGTGCAAGTGCTTGTCTGGTGCCAACTTTGCCAAGTCACATGAGCTCTGGTCTGATAAACAGTAATTTGTTTTCCATCAGGGAGGCTTGTGACAGGTCAAACCATGTCCTTATGATACTACAGCCTTAGAAATAATTATACAAGTGACTCATAGGGAAAGGCTTTTATTCATAATGCTTCTTGACTATGCTACACTGTAAAAAGGCTGTACAAGTAACAAGGCAAATGTGGCCGGCTCCTGTTACAAAAGAAGTTCTTATTCTGGAAAAGCTAGACCAGCAAAAAGGCACAACAAATGATACAATCTTATACAAAATACTTCTTCCCTATAAAGCACACAGCCATGCCATTAGCACTGACTTTGATGAATATATTAAGGAAAAAAAAAGTAACATAATTCCCCCCGTCTTGGTCATTGATACTGGTGTGGTGGAGGTTGCTCTTGGAAGAGGGATGTTGATGGAAGAATCATCTCCACTTTGTATCATCGTTTGGTGAACTGGTTATCCTATTTCAAATTCTGTGAAAGCCTGCTGGAAACTTGTGGGGTTTTTTGCTTTCACTATCAAAGCTTCAGAAAGAAAATCAAACCCCCTCATTCCATTTTACCAGCTCTCATCCAAGGAGCCACTGGTACTCCATGTCCAATAACCACTCTTCCTCATTGAGATATGCTGCGGGAAGACTCAATTGGTGCCTGTAGCTGGTCAGAGCAGAATTGTACCCTAAGGCTGAGGCTGGCTAAGTACCTGCTTTTGCTGTCAGTTAGTGCCCTGATCATAACTTGAAGGTCCCAAGCAGCTGGAAAGCTGGTGGGAGTGAGTGGAGATGATGGTGGTATCCCTGGACCTAGGCCTGACACCTCACTGTGCTGATGAGGAGGGATCTGGCACTCTTTGGAGATGTCTGGAGGCCACGACTGCTCTGCCAGAAGTTACAGGAGGAAAACCCTGTTTTGACATGTGCGATGCGAACCCCTCAAAACTTATGCGTGGTCTCAGAGGCAGAAGAAGTGGCAGTACCCTGGGCCAAGCTTGCCCTTGTGTCACTAAAAGGGCTGCGGGAATGGTGTTTGAGGTCTTGTTTCAATAAATTTGTAAGCTATAGGTTGTGTGTTTGGGAAATACAGCAGCATGATGGTAGGTGATGGTAGCTGTTTCCTCAGGAAACCGGCCTTATCTGATCACAATTTCTGGTGGTTCCCCTTTGGCCAACCTGAGTCAAGTGCAAGCGAGAGAGACAGGTCTTGGAGGTTATGTTCCCCCAAAACCTTATGAAAATAAGCCTAAAAGACAGGTGCTTCTAATATGCTGTCTCAGCCTTTAGGAGACATCAGAGAGTCCCTGTGGGAGTTTAGCCCTTTGGATGCAGTGGGAACTCAGTGACTTTTTCCTGTGGAACTGCCATGTTTCGTTCGATTGCTTAACCTACTAATTTTGGATACTGCAAAATCCCGAGTGTGAGCTTTCCTTCCTAAAATGGATTTCCTTTTTTTTTTTTTTTCCAATCTTCCGAGGACCTGAAAACTTTTCCTTTGTTTCCCCAGGCGCTCAGATAAGCTGTTTTGCTCCCAGCTCCTTTTCCTGGCGACAAGCTGCGTACGTGGACTCCTACTGCTGGGCAGCTGTGCAGCAGAAGCAACCATCCCAGAACAACTTAGAAAACATTCCCCTGTGGCTGCATAAAGTATGTTCAAATTTCCTTATCCTGCAAAAATCATCCCCCAAAAGCTTATCTTTGCCTCACTTTTCTTCTTCCTCTGCTCCGCTATAGTCCTTGGCTTTCGCTTAACTCTCTATTTTTAGAGAGAATGATTTCTATCCTTTGCTTCCAAAGAGGGTAGTACTAAAGAAGGTATTTTCTGCTTTTAAATGAAGGGTCTGTCATGCTGTAGTAACAAATATCACCAGTTATCTGACCCAAGAGTCATGTTAATGTTTCTGGGTTGCCCTGGAGCTGTGTGCCTCACCTGGCTTTAGCACCTGAAAACTTTTCCTTTGTTTCCCCAGGCGCTCAGATAAGCTGTTTTGCTCCCAGCTCCTTTTCCTGGCGACAAGCTGCGTACGTGGACTCCTACTGCTGGGCAGCTGTGCAGCAGAAGCAACCATCCCAGAACAACTTAGAAAACATTCCCCTGTGGCTGCATAAAGTATGTTCAAATTTCCTTATCCTGCAAAAATCATCCCCCAAAAGCTTATCTTTGCCTCACTTTTCTTCTTCCTCTGCTCCGCTATAGTCCTTGGCTTTCGCTTAACTCTCTATTTTTAGAGAGAATGATTTCTATCCTTTGCTTCCAAAGAGGGTAGTACTAAAGAAGGTATTTTCTGCTTTTAAATGAAGGGTCTGTCATGCTGTAGTAACAAATATCACCAGTTATCTGACCCAAGAGTCATGTTAATGTTTCTGGGTTGCCCTGGAGCTGTGTGCCTCACCTGGCTTTAGCCAGGAACTATTTTAAGACCAGGATACAAGACACAACAACTGCCCTAATGCTTATATCAAAAGCTTACTTTAGGAAAACAGGGTAGTGAAAACATTGCGGATTTTTATTGTGTTACACTTGGCCAGTTTTGCACGGAGAGGCAAAATGATGCCTATGCTCATGGCTGATAGGCATTTTGGGAGAGACGAAATCCATCACTGGTACCAACAGGCTTAACCCTGTCTTTACTGTGTTCTTCTGAGCTTCCACAGGCAGTTCCCTTGCAAACTGTGAGTGGGTTTCACTGCTCTGGGCAAAGCAGCATCATACTGAGTGCACAGTAAAGGGCTGATTTTATGGGTAAAAGGAGCAGTAGGTACTAAGATACTTGGGCTGGCTCAAAGCAGTTAGCTGAGCTTTGGCCAGAGTTATAAGCTCTGAGGAAATGCCGAGCCAGTGCCTGGGGCTGACTCAGCTCGAGAGGCAGCATCGCCCGGCTCAGGCAGTGCTGATGCCAAAGTAAGAAATGCTGTTGGAGCTCTGCAAATTTGGGGTGTTGCGTAGTGCCTTCCTCAGCCCTTTTATTACTTGCCCCAGCAAATAATTCCCCTGACACCTGGGAGCGGAGGAGAACCCAGTGTTAAAGGAAACTCAGGTCTGGGACCTGCAGCACCTGTATTTCTAGGTTTTGCTGGTGTATCTCGTACCTCAGCTTTTACTATCCAGTCAGCTGTCGGTATCTCCTCTGAAAGACTACTCAGAGCTATCTCTGATTTGTTTGCTGACTCCCATCACTAACCGTAAGGATTTACAACTGCCTTCTACAGTTCACTCCACTCGTAATCTTGACCCAATGGTCTTGGATTTCATGAATATGAAAGCCAGACCTCTTGTTTTCTGGCCTGAACTCTTCCTTGTTCAGTTAGTGTTGCACTTTGCTTCAGCCAGACCTTCTGCAGAGGCCAGTTGAAGCTGCTGGGACATCTCTCAATGCAGGTGGCCTGCATGGGTGGAAACTCCACCTGCAAACCTGGATATGTTGCTCCCCCTTCCTCTTGAAGGAATGAGTTCTTGTCACCCGATTTCTTTATGTTGAATTTTATGCCACAGTCACCTGCTGATAGCTGTAAGTCTCCCAGTTTGCCAGCCATGACTAATAGCTTAAGTGGTCATACTTTTATGATGCAATCCATGTTAATTTGCTGACTGGTGCTGTCTCAGGAATCGATGCAGGGCCCTTCTTCCCACAGTTCCTCCGTGATAGCTTAATGATGTGTGATGTTTCCTTGAAAATACCCTGCAAACTGGCTGCAAGCCTGCCTGAACAGCTGAGTCAGAGCTTGTAGCAAAGGCTGGGTGCCTCGTTTTAACCTCCTACATCCATGTTTAGTCACCTGTTCTTCCACTGAGTTGGGCACTGGGAGCTGCAGATGCTGTCTGCAGGCTGGTATTAATTAATATCCTTCTGCTTCCATGCCTAACAAGTTTCCAGGGGAGGAATGGGGTTGCAGCTATTGACACTGACCTTTGGTTCCCAGCATCTGAAGGGGTTTGGCTCCCTCTGTGCAGATAGTTTTCTTCGTGTCTCTAAAAATGAGTGCTTCACCAGACAACCTGTTTTGATAAAACTTAGCTGGACCCTTAACTGGAATAGAAACAAACTTCTGGCCATTGTGAGTGGGCAGTGGAGGAGGAGGCTGCACTGCGAAGCCTTTTCAGTCCATAACGCCCAGAGAAATTTAATGGAGGAGAAACCCATGGAGGAGAACAGTGAGCATCATCTTCTTGTCTCTTGATGGTCAGCAGACATGATGGCAACCAAGCGAGATTAGGGGCAGTCGGACATTGAGTGTCCTAGCCCTGAAATCTGGATTACCAGGATGGAGTGGCCTGTGATCAGGAGACTTCTAAGGTTTTTTAGTTACTCTATTTTCTAGTCTATTATTAACTGGGGAGAAGTTTTATTTTCTTCAAGGAAGAAAATAAAAGTAAGCAAAGTTGAGGTAAAGGGAGTGGAGGGTTCTCCAGAAGAAGGGCATCAGTACCAGTGTGAACTGCAGGCAAACAGTTCATCTACACATTGGTATTTGCATGACTGACAGCAGAAAGGTCTTCACACGTGGCGTAGCCAGGAGAGGTCAGTCACCTGGCTCAGGTCTCTGTAAAAGTGCAGGACAAGTGCTGCAGGACCTGCTCAAAGCATCGAGTACAAAGAGTGGGTCTGAGGTGTTTGTGTGCATAAATGTTGAAAGTGCTCACTTTTTGTAACAGAAGTAGGACTTACTGTGGACCCATGCGTTGTTCTTTGAATTGCTTGTCTGTAAATATACAAAAAAATCTCCGAAGGTTCTTCATTGTGATGTTGGTACGACTATAATCACGGCTGTTACCTGGTTCTCATCACTCACTGTTTGCACAGCTCCCTAGTTGAGGGAGGACTCCTCATGTTTGGCCTATAAAGCCCCACCCAGAGGATTAGGGGCTGTCAGAACCAGGAAACCTGAGAGCACCTGCATTTATAAAGCATTCTCTGAGCATGTAGTGTGAGAGCTACCTCAGTCACATTAGTCTGAGTAATTGAAGCGGGGGGAAATACAGTTTTTAAGCTGTATCAAAACAGGAAGCAAGTAACAGGTAGGGTAAAAAAGGTCATGCATGGTTTGAGGTTCACTTTCAGGTCTGGAGGCTGGATCGTATCTCAACCCCAATGATGAGTCACTTATAGCTCATGTTTCTGCCCTGAACACCAATGAAACATCTCCCATTGACTCAAACGGGAATAGAATCGTATCCAGAGAAAGCTTAAAACCTTTGCTTCTGGAAGCACGTTACTGCTTTCATTAACCTGTCTGGGGACTTGTGCCTTTGCAAACAGAAATTTGGAATTGAAGAAGCAGACACTTCACCATGATCTTATTTTTTAATGAGAAACATTTTCATCTCAAGCGAGTGAAGACACTCGGGTGCTTCGTTCTTCACTGGGTACTGTATGCCAGTGCCAGTCAATTTTCTCAGGGCTGAAATTCAGACCTGTGCAGCTTGATGTCTTTGTGCTGTTAACGTTAGTGTTTATCCACTCTTGGGTATGGTGGAAGTCTGGATGCTTGCAGTCACTTTACAAAAACTGTTGTTTCCCGAAATGTCGCTGAAGGGCTTCTCGTCTTCTGCCAGCCATCTTGGCAGAAGACATCCAGGCATCCAGATCTTGGCAAGCTTTCTTTAGATTAGATCCTTTAAAATGCCTTTTGGGTCACACCACCCTTGGCAGCTGTATTTTGTTTGGATGATAAAAGCATATTTGAACTTAAGAAGAAGTTTTTTAAATGCCCTTTTAACTGTATATTTACTGTATCTTAGCACAATTGAAACTGTGGATGTTATAGATTAGAATATTTTGTGGCTTAGTCTGATTTTTCCTTTCACCTGCAGGAGAGTGAGTTGCTAATGCATCTTTAAAAGACATTTTTGTGATTCCAGTGCCTTATGTGCTTATGTAAACAGATTGCTCAAACACTTCTTCTATACCCATGCATATGCTCTGGTTGAACAGTTAGCTAGTTTCTAAAAAATTAGCTTAAACTGGCTGATGTCTTCAAAGCTTATTTCCCTGGCCTTCTGATAAATTATGAAAAAATCATGTCCTGAGAATATCAGGAATTAATTTTAATTTTTGTAGTGCTACTGCTGTATGTGTACTTATCAGTGAAAAGCTATGCGTGTGCATAGGGAACTGAAATGCAGTAAAGATGGATCTGAGTATTTAGCTGAATGTAGATATTCACACATTCTGGTAAGGCAGAGGTTTGTGCAGGTAATCTTCGTAAAAGGAGCATATTCAGGCACTTTAATCATTGGTCATGACTTCAAAAGAGCTCACTGTGTTAAATAGATTTCTAGAGTTTGGACTGCACGTATGCAGGTTATTTTCCTTCTCCGTTCATAGTAGCTAGTATTGATTTAAAAATTGCTCAACTTGTTTATAGTTAGTGATGGAAGAAAACAGCACCCATCTGTGAAGGGTAAGAATTTTGATGTGCATAAATGATTTACTTTGATGATAATCTTCATAGCTGCGTTTGCAAGTGTAGAACACAAGACTGAAAATGATGTGTCATGCTGAGATGGACACCCAGTTTCCTAAGCTCTTGCTGTCCAGAAAGATCATGCTTTCTGCATTGCAGGACTGGGTAGAGTGTTGTGCCACGGGCTACCAAACAGCTGGTGTCAGATCTGATCCTCTTTTCACCTTTGGGATGTGTTACTGTAGGACTACAGCCGTGAGATACGGAGAGGCACTAAATCTGCAGTTCCCGTTTCAGTTACTTGTTGCAGAGCAATGATGTTGAGCACACACGGCCTTAGCCTGGAGGGAGGAATCCTTCTCTGCACAGATTCCTGTTCTTGGATTTCAGTCCCTCATCAACGCCAGTTAACGTGGGCTTGGGCGGTTGCTGGTGTTGAGGTGTCAGACATACCCTGCTCGGGTATCATAGAATCATAGAATGGTTAGAGTTGGAAGGGACCTTAAATATCATCTAATTCCAACCCCCCTGCCACGGAATGCCCCAGATTCTGTGATTTTGTATCATAGGATATTGTATCTATTCTAATGTATCTGTTCTAATCTACTTTCAGAAGACCTTTCTTCAGTTATGCATTCTCAAACCATCTTAAATTCAACATTGTGAACTTGCTGTTGAAGTGGAACTTGAGAACTAGACAGCAAAGGAAAAAATGAGTTTTACTTTTAAGGCAATACATTTCTCTGGCATATATTTGACCATATAGTTCTTGAGATCAGCAACACTTCCCATTTAACCTAAATACTACTGACTGCAAGACTGAAGTGGTATTTCCTCCTTGTGTATTTGGTGCCTTGGAAGTAAGCACATAAACCATATAAAAAGGGATATGGCACACGCTCATCTATGTATGCATACCACAGTGTCCTCTTCTTAAAACGGGAAGTCATTATGTGTGACTGTAAATGTAGTCAGATGAGCTGGATAATCTGAGTCTGCTGCTCTGAAGCCTAGGACTCGTGCCAGATGACTTTGCATTTTCACTTCTGCCTGTTGGTTCAAGGCCTTAAATTTTAATGATTCCAAGCGATTTGCTAGTTATCTAAGCCTACCATTAACAAATAGAACAAGCGTATCTTTCATTTTTTAAAAAAGCCAGAATCCGAGAAGGATGGAGTCGTGCATCAAGTGCTGTGGAAGGGCTGACAAATACAGGCTTTTGTTTCCAAACAAAAAGAGCTGGACTAATGGTCACGCTGCTGCTCTGGGTTTGAGACCATTCAGAAAAGAGCTGCATAGTGTTTTCCCATGCTGCCATGAGCTGCAGCTTTGGGAGCGATGGGAGCCTGGCAAGGGGAAGCCCAGTAAACACGTGGCAAATATGCCTTTGTCCCAGTAGTGTGATGCTTCTAGGTAAAGAGGCAGTGGTGAAGGAGTCGGGGAGAGGAGGAGGTACAAGGAAAGGTGGCAGAGGCTGGTCTTTTTAAGACAACAGTGTGTAATGAGGCAGGGGAGATGGGTGGGATTGGAGGAGGTCTGGGGAAGAGCAACGGGGCTGGTGCTAATGTGCTAGACAAGTGCAGAACGTGCTCACGGAGTCTTTTTCTAGGTATAAAGGAAGAGATGGGGACCAGGACAATGGAGATTTTGGGCTATGACTTCAGTGTGTCAACTCTTGCCTCTTGCCACATGTCTTGTAAGCCTCAGGGTAAAGAGATCTCAAGGATTAATTGAATACTGCTGGTGATGTTTCCAGTTTTGAGAGTCAGACGGGGAATTCATAAATCCTCTGATGCCTGTAAAAATTCAAATGAGTCAGAAGTAAAGCCAAGTGGTATAAACCAGTGTAAGAAGCTTTGGCTGTTCCTTATTAAATCAGGTGTTTCTTTGTTGTTTCTTTCCCCACCTGGCACCAGAGGAAGGATGCGGAGAGGTGTGTGACACAGAAGTAAGTGAAGTCAAACAGGCTTTGCAGCAATCTTACACAAGCTGGCATCTGGCCTATGGAAAAGGTGTTGCATCAGCTTAGAGGAGCTCAGATAGGTTTAAGCTGTGTTCGTAGACAGATAATTTCTATTTCTACGTAATACAGAATCAGAGGACTGAAAGAGCCTGGCCATGAAACCATAAACCTTTGGGTCCTGGGCATCTAGGACTTAGACCTGAGAGACCCAGTGGCATTGTTGAAAGAGTGGAACATGAAAGGTGGATTTTTGAGCTGTTGTGTTTGAGTTGACCAAATGTCTACAAGAACACATCAGACACAGCAGAACTTTACCTCTCAATTGGAAAGGATAGATCTGGGAAAAAAACACCCAAACCCCACAGATGATGTGAAGTAATCTGCTGTATAAAAAGAGGGAAGAGAGGCGGTGGTGAGGACAGAGCTCTGCGTGGTTTCTACAGGCTGCTGGGGGTAGGGGAAAGATTGTGTCCAGGAGGCAGCAAGTAGACCCAAGAGGTGTGAGATGACAGCAACTAAGAATTTGTTTTTGAGAGAATGAGTTCTCTCAGCTTGTTTGAAAGCAGTTAATAGTTCAGAAAGGAGAGCAGCACCCACACCCAAGGGCTGTCTTGGCTGCTAGTGCAGGTAGGAGCTCTGGAGGGAAGAAATTCCCAATGGTGGCTATAGACAATCCACTGGTGAGCATAGTTTAATGATGCAGAAGATAGTAGGGATTCAGTGGGAGCACTGGGCAGATATGCAGTCCCCAGCAATTCCAGAAGATCAGAAGTAACCTCCTGGATCCTTCTGGCTTGTGAGGTCAGTCCCCAGGGTGGAGAGGGGACAGGCCACAGCTGTGATATTGCAGTGTGGGCTTAATGCTCATTCGTGGCTGGTGAGGAAGAGCTACCCCTAGTGGGATGTGCAGTATAATTACAGTCAACTTCGTTAACTAGGTTTCTGAAACAATTTGTTTATTGTAGGATTTCTATTTCTGTTTTAAAAGTGAGCCTTTCTTGATATTTTCTTTCTTTCTTTTCTTTTTTTTTTCTTTTTTTTTCTTATCTAGACACTGAAGTAGCAATTTTGGCCAAGTTCAATTATGTTGCTACTGAGCAGAAATGATTAAAGTATGCATTTATAAGAAGGATTGCAAGGGAAATCTGACCTTTAAATACAACATCCTGTGTTTTCTGCGCTATTTGGTGCTATTTAGTGCTTTTCCTGGCTTTTTTTCTTACTGTGTGCCAATGGCTCCAATGTAGAGAATGTACACATCCAGAACCGTGGTTTGTATTATTATCTCCAGTTGCTGATGCAGTTCCTTTAAGAAGTGAAGTTTTATTTATGTGCTAATATGTCGTATGCATTCCTAGTATTAATAACAATATAGGATTTTGCTTTATTTTTAGGTGATATTAGAAGCAGCTTTTCTGGATAAAATGGTCAATAGCATCAAATCGTTTATTTTGTGCATACAAAACTTCACTCTCTCCTGATTAATGCAAACACAGGTTAATGTTAATATGAGGTTGAGATTCCCATCTTGTTAAGTATCTACACTCGTAAGTGGAGCTATTCCACTTGTGCTGACTAATGACTTCAGTCCAAGTTTCCTCTAAAATTCTGAATTGGCTTTTTCAGTGAATGTGCATGTGTGCATGACTGTAACATTTAAGATGCCTTAAATACGTTTCATATTTGTTCACCACAACTAATTTAAAATTCCTTAGGAACTGATGCTGGGTTTGAGTTTAGTGTGCTTACTATCAAAAGCTGAATGTAGTGATTTGGAGATTAGCATAATTTGCAGTACATTTTGTTAACTAACTGTTTGCCTAACTAGATCTTACATCACGTCTCTGTAAGGGTAATGTTACGTATCAATGTACACCTTAATGTAATCTCACAGTAGATAGGAAACGCCTTCTTTCCAGCAGCTGGGGGGGAATTAGAGATTAAGTCTCGTGGTGAAAAACTCCTACTCGTTGATCGCTAGAAGAAAGATGGAAAGACTTCAAGCTGTTTATTTTATACCTGCTTCAGCCCTTTCCCTAAGCAGTGGGGACCATGTAAGGACTGACTTCTCAGTGCTGCATGAACACCAGACCATTCTGATGTTATCAGTTTAGTTATCTGAAAATACTTAAATACCCTTAAATATTACAACCCTAGTTCCATCCTTCACAGTCTGTGCATGTCAGGCACTCTGCACACGTGTGTCTTCGCAGGCAGATGCAGTGCTATAGATGGTCTATTCATTGACCTCCTGACAGCTAATGAAGAGCAGGAGAGATTTTGCCAGTGTTTGGAGCATTTTCGTTGCTAGGAACAGTAGTGACAGGTTTGGGAAGGAGAGTTATGTGACACTGTCATCTTCTTCCAGTCAGCATCGCTGATAGCTGCTTCGGTTGCCTTTGCTATTTGTTCTTCCCCAGGTTAATGCTGCCTCTCTCAATTTCATCTCCAGCAGTGCAGCTCTGAATATGCAACGGAAATGTTATCAGGATCACGGTAACTTTATTCTGCCATTTATTAATACTATTTTTTGCAAAGTTCTGAGCAGCAGTAAGGTTACTGGAGCTGTTTGAAACAAGATTTTGCTTCCCTCCATGTCCCTGATAACCACAAAAGTGGGTTTTAGTAATAGCGTTTAAGTCAAGTTTTAGGGAATTTAATAGGCCTATAGAGAATTCAATAGACTTATAGGGAATGGTGGTGACTGGCTGACATTTTATATGCAGGTAGAGCATAACCTGATTTTTTTTTCCCTTCAGTTCTTCCCATACATCCTTCTGCTGGTCGCTATCCTGCTGTATCTACCATGTTTGTTCTGGCGCTTCACTGCAGCACCTCACCTCTCTTCAGACCTGAAATTCATTATGGAAGAGCTTGACAAAGCCTATAACAGGGCAATCAAAGCTGCTAATAGCATCCGCAGCGGAGACCCCAGGGACCCTGCTGACTTGATTCCAACTGCTAATGAGAACTTGACACAGAGGTAAGATGCTGGGGCTTGGCTTTCTTTGCTCTTTTCCTTAAGCTTGTAACAGATGTGACACCTCCACTCTCTTATAAATTTATTCAAAAGGTTTGAATGGTGACCCAACACGCTTTTAAATTTGGATTAAAAAAAAAAAGACATCTGAAGTCATTACTGTGAGCACTTGGAGCTGTAACGTATAACTTTCTTTTTTCAAAGAAAACATTTGATGAGCTCTTCAGATTACTAATTGTCTGAGATGTCCTGATTTCTTTAGTTGTAGAAGGTGTTAATTAGTTTTACTCCCCACCAGATAAGATAACAGGGATGGCTGCAGTCTTCAGTTCTGGATGTTTTTGACAGTCAGTTGCACACTGTGAGCCAAGTCTATTACTTTTCATCTCCCATCCTTTCAGATCTAGGTCTGCAAAGCTTCTTTTTAAAGAAAAAAAAAACCCACTATAAAAAAACAAACACCAAAAGTAACACCACCCACCCAACCACCCCCCAACCCCCCCCAAATCAAACCAGCACACTCTTCTAACTACTCTTGATTTACCCCAATGAGAGGGAATCCAATCTTACTATTGGACTATTTTGGAGTATTGCTAGGTTTCTTTGAAATATGAGGTAGGTGAATGCTGCAGCATCTGATCTATGTGGTTTGTGTTTTCCTTTTCTCTGTCTTTCAGTTTGTGGGAAATATCTGAAAGCCACTTTAAATACCCAATTGTGGAGCAGTACCTGAAGACGAAGAAGAATTCCAAATGCTTAATAATTAAATACATTATCTGCCGTTTACTCACACTAGTAATTATTTTCATTGCGTGCCTCTACCTGGGCTACTACATTAGCCTCTCCTCTTTGAGTGATGAGTTTCTCTGCACTATCAAAACTGGGATCTTAAAGAATGACACAACTGTTCCAGACGTGGTTCAGTGCAAGCTTATTGCTGTTGGTGTCTTCAAGGTACTCAGCTACATTAACCTGCTGGTCTATCTCCTAGTGATGCCGCTGGTAGTGTATGCAATGTTTGTTCCGTGGAGGTGGAATTCAGGTATTCTCAAAGCATATGAAATCCTGCCGACCTTTGATGTTCTGAAACTCAAGTCAAAGTGTTTTGATGACTTAAGCCTTTACCTCCTGTTTCTTGAGGAAAACGTGAGCGAACTTAAATCATTTAAGTGCCTCAAAGTGCTGGAGAACATTGCAGTTTCTGAGAAGTTTGATGTCATGCAACTTCTGGTAAACCTTGGTACTATTAAGACAGATACCGTGGATGGGAAGCCAGGGACAGCTGTAACGGAGAAGCCTGAAGAAACAAGTACAGAAGAGCTGGACAAAAATGCTACAGAGCTACAAGGTAAGGTGACCTGCTACTTATTTGAAAAGAAAAATCTCCTAAAGAAGGAAACACCACAAAAATACCTCTTCCAAACATGTTGGTATAGAGAGATAAGGAATCTATTAAATCAAAAAATGATTCATGCAAAACAAAGCAGGTTTCATCTAGACGTGTGGTCCTACCAAAAACTTTGTAATGTATTCTACAAGAAGATGGACCTGCTTAGACCTTGCTATGTTGTCTGCAGTATAACTGCTATAACTTCACATGTGTGCCAGAAGATTGTGGTGCTGCAGGTCAGCGGCACAGGCTGGACACTGAAGCATCTCTTAAGTTGGTGCTCCTCACTGACATCTCTGCTGGAGCACTAAGAGGCTCCAGCTGTCTGAACTTGAACTCCTAAAGACCACCTGTACAGTAGAAGAGCACTGGATAGGTCTACAGTAGGTTGTGCTTGAATAAGCTCCAGTGAGAAAGTTGGTGATTTCAGGGCATTTGTTTTTCAGAGATTAGTTCAAAAGGGCTAAACTGCTGCTTCTGCTTTTCATTGAGGCTTGGGCAGGAATCTTAGATGAATGTAAAAAATAAGTCTGATGCTGAGAAATGCCACTGGTGGAGGAACGGAAAATGACAAAAGAAGGGAAGTGGGACCGGGGCCAGTGAACATGCTCCTTTTCCTTCTTATGCAGAGAGAAAGGGAGACTGACTGTAAAGTGATTTTTGCCAAAATGGTCTGAGTCACTCTGGATTGGTGTGGCGCTTCTCTGGGTATTCCCACCAGGCACGATTGACTCTGAGCAATCACTTTTATATAAGATGTGGCCTTAGTGTCTGTGTGCTAAAAAATGTGACGTATCTTAAATGTGATTCCAATTCCCTCCTCGTGTGCAGAATTAGAGAAGAGAAGCAGGATACTCAGGGAGAGGCACAAAGGGATGGGAAAGCTTTCTTCCCATTTGGTGTGAGCATGGCCGCTGTTGTGGCTGTCCCCGCAGAAGCAGCAGGACACCAGTGCCCACCTCTGCATGAAGGAGTGGGGACTCTGTGAGCTGCCTCGTCACAAAGTCCTTCACTCATGGAAGTGAAGGTGCTTCAAAACATTTAACAGCTGACCTGAGTAGGTGAGCAGAGTGCTCAGGGCAAGTTAAAGAACTCTTTCAAAGGCAGGAAAGAATTAAATCTACTTTCTCTTCAGAAAGCTATGCCCTGTGCTTAATAAAAAAGAAGTAGCAGCATCCAGAGGGTAACTGTTCCTCTGTGCTTTGGTCAAGCTGTTCTGGCTGAGGTTGGAAGGAGAAGTCAATTTACAACAGAGGAATTCGGAACAAACAAGCAGAATTGATTCCAAACTAGAAGAAGCACTTCTGGCAGCTGGCTTTAGTACAGCAGTTTGGGGTAATTCTGACAGAAAATAGCTTTTCTCTTAAATGGGTCCCTTTTTGAAATGACGGGTGGGGTTTGGTAGGAGAATTTAAGAGCCCAAAGTGGGGATTCTCTGCTCAAGGAGCTGAACAAGCTAATAGAGAGTCTGACTCGTTTCTATCTGAAAGCAGAACTTTTGAGAGTTTTCATCTCACAAAAACCACTTCAAAGACTTGTTTTCCTCCAGAGCAGAACAGACTCATGCTTGAAGCTCTGTCAAAGTGCATTGCAGAAAGAAGCTGCTGTTCTGTGACCAGCTGCAGCTGGTCCAACCCTTTCCTTCTGCCTGGGTGCAGCTGCGAACTTCACCGCTCGTCAGCAAACCTTTGCCTGTGGCTCCTCGTCTCTTCTTCTGTCACTAGTGGCCTCAGCGTGTTTTAATTAGTAGCGGTGTTAACAAACCAGTGGTAGATGCTGACTGTGCACCATAAGGGTAGGAGATGCTGCAGGGCATCCTGCTGCTGGGTGCTCCAGCCCTGCAGAGCTGTCCTGGTGGCAGTTCCTTCATAAACAAGAATGGTTTAGTGGCCCTTCCACTTCTAAAAGTTTACTTTCTCTTTAGTTTTGACAGACCATGAGGCAAGTGGCAACGTGAGTCCGAGAGAAGATAAAAAACTTCGCCAAAGACTCATAGATTCCTCGTGCTGATGCCTCCTCACCACAGCAGGCAGGAGGCCTTCTCCTGCACCCTGGCTGTGCTCAATGCAAGGTGCTGCCCTTTGAATGCAACCGTCTCAGTGGCCTCACAGTTCCTCAGAGGCCACACTGGTTTACAGAATACTTGTTGTGTAATAACCAGCAATCAGGTACCTGAGAAAGCATCTTGTAGACTTTCATTATTTATTAAAGAAAACCCAAACCAACACCCAAGGAGCAAGAACAAAAAATTTCCGTCACAAGTACCAAGCGATGTGGGGTGAATGCAATCGAAGTTGGCGGCAGGAAGGAGCCTGAGATGTCTCAGTTGGCCATCTCAACAGTGATGCCTGGCATTAATTTACTTGGCACTGATGGAAGAGAAACTACAAATAGGCTTAGTATAACGGGGTACTGTAAATGTTAGGGGTTTTGAATTTTCTACATATTCATAAATTAAAAATAATGTCTTACTTCTTTTTTACAAAATCTAATGATGAGTAAGCTAAATGTTAGCTTGATTTCTGTTTCTCAGCTGTTTTGGTCTTCTTGACTAACAAATCCGCCTTGGAGTTTGGACTGAAGATCAGTGAAGTTGGTTCCATTTTTGTAATGGTTTGTCAAAGTGGTTTTGTGATATTTGCATGTGTGGAATTTGTTTCAACATGTTTGTAGTATCAAACGCAATATTAGTCCTGCTGTCTTCCAAAACCCACTTGAGAAGACGGTCTTATTTGTATTACAGTAGCACCCGAGTGCCTCAGCAGGGCCAAGCACCTGACAGTGGATGTGAGGTGGATGTAAATACAGTGACAGGTTGTTCTCCCTACACACTCTGTGACTTCATTTTAATTAAAGATAAGAAGCTGAAGTGGGTTGGAACAGACAAAAAAAGGGGAAGCATTTGTAAATTGAAAAAACTGCCCTGGTTTGTTGTTGTACTTTTTGGGGAGAGTATCGTGGGGCTTTAATGTTGTCCCTTCTGCCCAGGACCTCTACCTTCAGTTAACATTAAAATGACCATTGTCTTGAATTTTAGGTACAAGGTGAGGCGGGTGGGGGGTTAATCACTGCGGTGGCAGTGTGTATCTGTCACAAATGTTATGTGCTCCCTTGTTTTTCTCTATTGTCCATGTGATTGAAGTATCTTGCCTGTCACCCCTTTTAGACAAAGTAGCACCTCTGTTATAGCTAGGTAGGACTTCCACTTTCCAGTTCCTCTGTGCCACCCGCTGTTGTGTTCTCGACTGTTAGCACTCTCCGTACGGCTGAGGATGAGGAGGGAAGAGAAGTAATCAATGTCACCACCTTTGCACGGACCTGTGTGTGTGCTGCAGCTGGTTTCAAAGAAATAGCACACCTACTTGAATTTGGCAGCTGTCGTTAAACAAGTGGATCCCAAAGTGCTGCCATACTATACTTTGAGCTAGTATTACAAGAACTCTTTGATTTTCAGCTAACACAGTCTGTAAAGCCATAGTATCATGCTACCTCTGCTTAGGACAGTAGCAAAGCTGCAATTCCAATGGCTGTTGCATTACCAGCAAGAAACGGGGCTGGTGTTGGATGCTGGTGGTCCAAACTGCTCAGTTTTACTGCTGTACTTCTCCCAGCAAACCCACAACCCCTCTGACCTGCTCTAGATTGTCTGGCTGTGCCGATGTGTTGCTGATGGTCCTTTATAAGTGGGTAATGCCGATGCACATCGTGCATTGTGTGTTTTGGGCAAGGAGCTATAGTGCAATACTAAGATTTTGTGATGTGGACGTGTTTGAACTGTTTGATGTAAGTAGAGTTCTCAGTCTTTAAAACTCGAAGCTCCTGAAAGCAACGTGTTCATGTTTCTTGTTGAATATGAACCTAACTTTTTACTGATTCCCCTTTTATATTTAAAAATATGAATTGCTGCAGCGAATCTCTCATTGTCTTCTAAAGCGCTCAATAAAATATGTATCAGTTCTTCTTGGTTATTTAAATAAAATTGATTTTGTGAACTCCAGCAGTGTAAGTGACTGAAGGTTCCAGGAACGGTCACATGTCGCCACCTGAAAACCTGTAGTGCAATGCATGTGGTCTGATGCTAAACCCTGAGCAAACTCCTTGGACAGTAGTTATAATTGTGTTCTTTTAATTTTTGCTCTTATAAAACTGTCAGAGCAACACGAATTGGGTCAAAAACTATTTAACCTTTAAAAACTGTTGAGAAGACATCAGCAAATGATAAATAGCCTATCTGTTGTGTGACCTACTATCTAAAAATTGGCTGCAGTCTCATCATGTTTGAGCTTTTCAGCTGTATCTTGCTGTTTTAAGATGCGTTGCTGCAACTGCCCAGCTCAAGTCTACTTGGATTCTAGCGGCACCGCTCCTTCTGTATTTTTGCCCTTTTTGAAAGATGAGCTAAATTCCAACTGGGTCTTAATGAAAAGAGTCCATCTTCACCCTCTTCATCACTACACTTTTTCTAGAAGCGGTTACATCAGCGGTTACATTTTTTCAAATACCCCAGGAAAAAAAATGGCAATGTTGAGATTCAGGTTTATTCCATGCAGTCCTTTCACCTTTCTCTCTCCATCACTTGGATGCAGAAGAGTTGCAACCAGCTCCTCTGAACGCTTGTCTTATAGCACCATTCATTGGCTCTTAGCTACCTCATGAGATTTAAAACTTGCGATGATAATTGTATGACACAGGGAAAGAGTAGAAGTATTTATTGCAGTAGCAGAGGGTGTTCCTCTAAAAGCAGCTGTACCCTCCTGCTTTTCCTCCTCTGGGTGTTGTCAGGCACTTTCAGAATAAAGAGTATATTTTAGGTCCATGTTTTATTTCTCTTACTGGAGCAGTGGGTGGTTTTTAAATAGGAGTTTTGATGACAAGTTTAGAGCCCAAGCCTAGAGTCCCATTTCACGAGCAGAGGATGTCCTGGCTGCACTTGGTGAACATGAAGATAGAAATCAGGTCATGAGTGGTTTTCTCAAGGTGGAGGTGGTCCACCACTGTCTGAGTCAAAACTTTGTAAGGAGGAAGCCACTTGGTGTGTGTCAATTTTTATTTTTCAATAATGAGTGTCATGTTCCTGATATGAATAATCAAAATTATACTATTGCTCCCTATGGACTAATTAGTTACCTAACCCTGCCATATCTGTATCAACTAGACTTCCTCAGCGGCATGCACAAACCACAGGAAATTCAGCATTCATTATTCTTCTTCACTGAGTTCCCATTAAGAAATGTAAGCTGATTTTATGGTGCTGGGTACTGGTTTGATTTTTAGGTCGGCTGAAGGGAAGATGGCATCAACGCCACACACAGCCACCCCCTCTAGAAGTGAAGCCAAGAGTGGCGTCGCTCAGTATTACCACCTTACCTTACCCACGGGCTGGGTGGGATGGGGACACCAGTAGAAGCATGGAGGAAGGTGCAGGGAGGCTCTGCCATATGGATACAGGAGAATATCTGCTGGATCACCAGTCTCTAACCGCTCTGTTGAGCTTTGTGTGTGATTCCCAGGAAAGTGAATGCATCATGTTAATACTTGCTTGGAATTGCGGAACTGGCCTTCTTGGTGACTACGTAAGCTGGCTGTGTGGCCCAAAATGGTGGGATGGGACTAAGGGAAGTATTGGAGAAGTCTTGTGCAGATGCTTTATCCCACGCTAACTGCTCTCAACTCACATTGTGTACAACCCTTGAGCTATCACAGCGATATGATTGCTTTCCTGCCCAACTTAAATCAAATGGCACAGGCATCAAAATCTCAACTGTCCAAATTGTTGTAAGGGATTTCATTAATTATCATTTACCTTGATCCAAAGGAACTGTGTATCATGTGTTCTTCTAATAATGATGTTAAAGAAATCTCTGTGCACTGTACATAAAAAGCAGACGTCTCCACTGAACAGCGTCTGCTGTCATAGAAATGCAGTATATTCTAATGTACGGAAGGAAACTAGTAATAGTTTGGACTTTACATACACTTAAAGGATTTTGTAAACCACCTTTCAGGTTTTTTCTGCACCTAGGCTTATACTGCAGACTTGCTTTCAAAGGCTCACATGAACAGCCTTGTTTCTAACCTGTGGATCAAAGCAATTATTGTATTTTAAAAGGTAAGTGAAGTATTATGTCCCTTAGGGAAGTTTGTAATTCTGCTTTTAATGAAGTCTATACTATATTCACCTCCATGAGTGGCTGTCATCACTACACAGGTGTTTTCATGCTGCTGTGATGTTGCTTCGAGAGCAGGATTTTTGCAAAAAGAATGAGCGGGAGAAACAACTCAATAGTAAGTACTCCCAGTGTCTCTGCTGTGCTTAAAATGATCTTTCTCCAATGAGGCTCCTATTGAGGTCCCTGGCATTTACTCATTGAATAAGAATTAAACGACATTCTAGAAAGAGTACAAGATGACCCTCACGGTGGCTATGAAGTGAGACAAAGAATTAGGCTCTTATTCAGGAGAACTCTTTGTGCTGGGAGGTTTGAAAAAGTGAAGGGTTTGGGTTTTTTTCTGGTGGTACCAAGAAGATGAGGAAACAGACCAGCATAGCTTCCTGCTAAGTACCAAGAAACACTACGGAAGTGACCTGATGGATGAACCCACCACAGCCACTTCTTGGCTTGTGAAAAAAATTTTTAAAAAGGTCTGTCTGAGGAATTTATGTAACTTGTTCAGCATCCGGCTCAGGAGACTTTTTGTCCTTTTGATACTTGAGCCCTGTATAATGTCTAATAGGGTCGAGGTGTTTTCAGAAGGAAAGTACAAGTTCCAGACACAATAGGGGAAAGAAATTGCAGGGGTGATCTGCAGGTCTTGTGGTGATTGTGCAGGAGTCAGCAGGGCATGGAAATTCAGGTGCAACTCTCCTAGCTGGCATCTGAAGTGTTTCAGAGGCAATGCCATCTGTTCTTCACAGGCAAAGGCTCACTTGATACCCTCAGCAATTGCTGCCCTAAGTAATCAAACTTCCAGCTGCTAGAAACTCTGCACTATGGCATAAGCAAGGGGTCTTATAAAAAAAAATAAAAATCCCTAAATCATTTTTGGGGAAAAAAAAAGTCTCTATGCACTCAAAATGGAGAAATACCAGATCTCTAGACCATAGTGTGGTCTTTATTACCATGTCCCTGCCGTTCATTTACCTGCCTCTGTGGTTAATTGAGGACTGCAGGTCAGCATTTGGTCTGGAGTTACTAACTGGAGTCGATGATGCTGTTGCACAAGCAGCTCTTTGCTGGAGCTTTTTATAGACTCAGAGTCTCTGCTAACACATTGGAATACAAAGTTGTGCCCCACTCTCTTTTCTGTACCACTGGCATCCAGATGTATATTGCAACCAAAACACTTTGTAAATAAAGGATTATTTAAATGGCATTAGGAAATGATAGCAGGCGTCCCAGCCATCTGCAAACACAGCCTTCTCAAATCTGAGTACTGCCAGAGCAAATTGTTTGTAACAGGACAGAATGACCTACATCTTCCCTTCCCTTCCCTTCCCTTCCCTTCCCTTCCCTTCCCTTCCCAGGGTTTCTCTCCTGCAGGCTGCAAGGCTGGAAGCTCTGGAAGAGTGTTGCAAAAGAACAGAGGTCTCCCATCTTGTACTTCCAGGTGTTCCCAAAAGTTTCATTTCATTTCTTCAGTTACAAACACTAGTAAAACTTTGCACTCCGCATTCTGGCCCTGCCCTTTTATGGAGCCTGACATACAGCAGGACCTGCCAGTTCAACCAACCAGCCCTTGTAGTACTTGGCAAGTACTGACAAGTAACCTCTGAGGAGGTTACTTGGGTGGTGGAAGTGCTTGCGTGTATCTGCTTCCAGAGCTATGTACCCTGTTCCTGGATCACTCCCAGGTCCCATGCCTGTCTGACCCCTTCCCAGGTCCTGCATCTGACCCTCAGACTCACACCATGCTCTCCACATGGCTCAGGAGCAGCATCTGAGAGACAATGGTGATTCCAGTAAGTCTGTCCTTCAGCATGGCTGGGGCTGTTTGTCTGCAGAGAACAGCTCTCCCCAGATTTGACGGCTGGTCAAATACTTCTGCTGGTCAATACAATTCCTTGTGACAACAGAGGTCCATCACAACCACCACAGCCCTGACAATGGTCTGATTGAGCTGCAGAGAAGAAAGGGACAAGTTCTCTTGCTCAGACTGCAGTTTCTGCTTCATATGTAGCATCCTCCAGACACAAGTTGCCTCTTCCTGAAGAGGACTTCCCCCACTCCTCTGGAGGAACAGGTCTTTGTCTAGGGGAGAGACAATATCTCCCTGCTTTCATATCCCTAAACCTGCTGGCTGGAAGACCCCTGGGGCTGAGCTGCATGCATCTCAGCATGAATTTCCCAGGCCGTGCCTGGGCTCATGGGAGGGATGAAAAGCTGGAATCCAGACACACTGTCTACCAACCTGCTGGCTTTTGATACTCTCACAGCAGCAGCGACAGGTTTCCAGCTTTAGCTACTTCCTCAGACAAACCACTTCCTGCTAAATTACGTCCATTCACATGTCATTATCACGGACAAAGACAAATGAGCTCTGACAGAGCTGCTGCCAAAGGCCCGCAACATCAGCAGATCTCACCTCTTCCTCTTCATGGATCAGAGAGTGAACTGCCACAAAACTGACCTTCCTGCATTTGAGGGAAAGAATGTTGTTTCCACACTCTGAATGAAATATTTGTCTTTAGAACTTAATCAAAAGATGAGGGGAAAGGTGGCGTAAAAACTACATGCCCAGGAGGCTATCTGGCATTAACAACAAATGGAGTCATCCCAAGTTACAGCGTCATGCTCCTTAGGGTTTAATCATGGATCAGTTTTGAATTCAAGGGTAAGGTATGAAATGTCTTGAAATAATTTTGTTGAAATGTTGAGCTGTTTCTTTCTTCCTCCTCTTCCTCCACACTGCACCTTCTCCTCCCCAAGGCTTAATGCAGGAGGCTGAGTGGTAGATGGCTACTGATGTTCTTCCAACCACAGCAACCTCCTGAGCTTC